CAACCTTACCCCTGTACTGGTGAGTAGGTAGGTGTTTTCTAGGAGCGAGACCGCACACCCAGGTGGTCCTGGAGTTGTACAATGTTGAGTCGCTAAGTCATGCCTGAATCTTTGCGACCCCATGGACTGCAGCACACCAACTTTCCTGTCCTTCACTACCTCCGGGAGTTTGCTCAGACTCAAGCCCATTTGTTGCAGGAAGGGGGACCCCTTCTAGGGCCCAAAACTGGGCTGTTGTCTAACACTCGGAAATGAATTGTCCGAGGAGACACGTGCTGACAAAGCAAGATATTTTATTGGGAAAGGGCACCCAGGTGGAGAGCAGTAGGTAAGGGAACCCAGGAGAACTGCTCTGTTGCGTGGCTCGCAGTCTTGGGTTTTATGGTGATGGGATTAATTTCTGGGTGGTCTTTGGCCAATCATTCTAATTCAGAGTCTTTTCTGGTGGAGCACGCATTGCTCAACCAAGATAGATGCTGGCAAGAGGGATTCTGGGAAGTGGACAGACAGGCAGTGTCTCCCCTCGACCTTTCCCGAACTCTTCCGGCTGGTGGTGGCTTACTAGTTCCGTATGCCTTATCAGGATCTCCTATCATAAAACAACTCATGCAAATGGTTACTATGGTGCCTGGCCAGGGTGGGCAGTTTCAATCAGTGTGCTCCCCCTAACACATTGAGTCAGTGATGTCATCCAACCATCTCAACCTCTGTTGCCCATTTCTCCTCCTGCCCTGAGTCTTTCCCAGCATCAGGGTCCTTTCCAATGACTCGGCTCTTTTCATCAGGTGGCCAAAGTATTGGAGTTTCAGTATCAGTCCTTCCAATGAGTATTACGGGTTGATTTCCTTTAGGACTGACTGGTTTGATCTCCTTACTGTCCAAGGGACTCTTAAGAGTCTTTTCCAGCACCACAATTCAAAAGCATCAATTCTGTGCTCAGCCTTCTTTATGGTCCAGCTCTCACATCCATACATGACTAATGGGAAAACCATAGTTTTGACTACATGGACCTTTGTCAGACAAGTGATGGCTCTGCTTTTTAATACACTGTCTAGTTTTGTCATAGCTTTTCTTCCAAGGAGCAAGCATCTTTTATATCATGGCTGCAATCACTGTCCACAGTGATTTTCAAGCCCAAGAAAATAAAATCTGTCACTGTTTCCACTTTTGGAGGTATGGCTAAAATGAATCCTTCCAATGGGTGAGAAAATCTGTGTATTTTCTATGCGGGCTATTAGGACAGCTTTCATGTGTATGGAACTTGGGGCACAATCTACTGTTTGTCTCTGAATCCTTGGTAGCTAGAGGTGACTTTTTTCAGGAAGTAGAGAGATAGGATGGAGAAGGCAATGGCACCCCACTCCAGTGTTCTTGCCTGGAGAATCCCAGGGATGGGAGAGCCTGGTGGGCTGCCGTCTATGGGGTCACACAGAGTCAGACACAACTGAAGTGACTTGGCAGCAGCAGCAGAGAGGTAGGAGCTTTTGGAGCAAGCAGCATGCCAGCTGACTTGTAACTTCTAATAATAATTCAGAAGCCAGAATGCCCATACTTTTTTCTCCCTCATTCCCTCTCACCCCTTCTTCTTCCTTTCCTTTTCCTCTTTCTCATTGTTTTTCTGTTTAGAATTTTTATTAGTTTTTGTTTTAAATTTCATGTAAAAAAAATTACATTTGCAAATGGTTTAGAGAGTCAGATGTTGCTAGACTTGTGTAAACACACACAGGCACACACACCCCATATCCTGGTCCTGGACTTCTGCCCACCTCCCTAATTTTCTACTTCTCAGGGGCAACTATTGATACTTCTAGTAATCTAGCAGATACTTTTGATATTTACCTCTGTGTCTCTAAAGGATGTACTTATGCAGCTGCTTGAATTCTTCCATCTTTGGTATTGTTGATTGACTTCCTACTGTGGAAATGAGGATTTAACTTTCTTTTCATCATCACCTACACTTCCCATCTGCCGTTGTTCCAAAATAGTTAATAGCATAATTTCATTCTATCAGTGTTTGGTGATTGAATTACTGTGACCCTTGAAGTTCTATTCATAGCTGAACTATGATGACTCCTCCTTTCCTGACCAACATTTCCTCGCGTTAGTTACCTTTTTTCCACCCCTGCTCAGTGTTTTGTTATAGGTCACTAGTTCAACATCAGACTCTTCTCTAGTTGAACAAAATCTGTCTTAAAATTGTTTTCACAAACTTTATTCTATCGTGTCCACCTTTTGAGAAAATCTCTCCCACAGCCTCTGAACTTGGGCGGGTGCTTTCTAGATCTGCTATCCAGTTTTTGTTTGAGGTTTCTTCGTTAGCATATTGGCAATTCCCTCAGTTTTATTTTTCTGCTGATCTTCTATTTCCTGGATCCCTTATCCTCCTCTTTCTTTGGTTTCTTCTTTGCTTTAGTGGAGCACATTTTTTTCACCATTAACTTATAAAGAAGTAAGTATTTTTTGTACCCTTGGATATTTGACAATGTATTTATTCTAGCCTCATGCTTACTTGATGGTTTGGCTGGGTATAGAATTCTGGGTTGGAAATAATCTTTCAAAACTTTGATGGCTTTGTGCCGTTGTCTTCATGGTTACAGTGTTGCCCAGAAGGCCATTTGTGAAATCTGTTTCTCTCTCTCCCTCCCTACTATAGGAAATCTTCTTTGCCCTGTTGTTTTGAAATTTTGTGATGCAGTTCCTTAGTGTAGATATATTTTTACTCATCGTGCAGGGCACTTTGTGAGCATTTTTGAAACTTATATCCTTCAATTCTGGTTATTACCTATGAAAATTGTTTCCTCGATTATTTCCATTTTCATTTCCCCTCTTCTTATGTTCTGTCTCCCCATCTATTCCCCGAAACACCTATTATTTAGAGGTACATGTACTGAACTATTTCCTCAATATTCTCATTTTTTTCTCTTCCATTTTTTTGGTTTTCTCTATTTTCTGAGCTGTTTCTTTATCTTTGAAATTTTTATGCATTGTGTTTCTTACATCATTTAAAAAGATTTCCAAGATCTCTCTCTTGTTTTTTAAACATTCGTTTTTAAAATAACATCTTGTTCTTGATTCATAGATATAAAATCTTCTCTACTGTCATTTCACTTAAATTTTCTTCTTCCCTACTTACTTTGGTCTCTATATTTCATATTATATAGTCTCCACAAATGCCTTGTTATTCTTGATTGCCTGATCACATTTAAGAGTAGAGGTCATTTAAAAGCTGACTTGAAAGCTCTGTGTCCTTTAGGTGGGACTGTTTAAACTATGAACTTCATATAACATAATCTAGGTAGGCTGTTTTCAAGAGAATCCTCACTGTTGATGTCTTTTGAATTTGTCTCTTGCACTAGTCAGATTGTTCAGAGAAATTGTCTCCAGTCTTCTGCCTAGAAGACATACGTTTGGCTCTAAGCATTCATGGACTTTAGGAGGGAAAGAAGGCTAACCATCTCCTCAGTATGTGTATTACTAGTCTGCTCAGGCTGTCATAACAAAATACCACAGTCTGGGTGGCTTAAACCACAGAAATTTATTTTCTCACTGTTTTGGAGACTAGAAGAGCAAAGATAGAGTCTTGGTTCTGGTGAGGCCTCTCTTCAGAAGGCCACCTTCTCCCCTCACCTCACGTGATCTTTCCATTGTGGGCAGGAGGAAGGAGAATGCTTTGGTGTCACCCCTTCCTCTCCTTATGAGGACAATAGTCCTGTTGAACAGAACCCTAACTTATGACCTCATTTAACCTTAATTACCTTCTTAAAGGCCCAATCTCCAAATATGATAATATGGGGAGTTCAGTTCAGTCCAGTCGCTCAGTCGTGTCCAACTCTTTGTGACCCAATGGACTGCAGAATGCCAGGCCTCCCTGTCCATCACCACCAACTCCTGGAGTTTACCCAAACTCATGTCCATTGAGTCGGTGATGCCATCCAACCATCTCATCCTCTGTTGTCCCCTTCTTCTCCCGCCTTCAATCTTTCCCAGCATCAGGGTCTTTTCAAATTAGTCAGCTCTTTGCATCAGGTGGCCAAAGTGTTGGAGTTTTAGCTTCAGCATCAATCCTTCCAATGAATATTCAGGACTGATTTCCTTTAGGATGAACTGGTTGGATCTCCTTGCAGTCCAAGGGACTCTCAAGAGTCTTCTCNATTTCCCACAGTTTATTGTGATCTACACAGTCAAAGGCTTTGGCATAGTCAATAAAGCAGAAATAGATTTTTTTCTGGAACTCTTGCTTTTTCTATGATCCAACAAATGCTGGCAATTTGATCTCTGGTTCCTCTGCCTTTTCTAAAACCAGCTTGAACATCTGGAAGTTTACAGTTCATGTATTGTTGAAGCCTGGCTTGGAGAATCTTGAGCATTACTTTACTAGCATGTGCTGCTGCTGCTGCTAAGTCACTTCAGTCGTGTCCAACTCTGTGTGACCCTATAGACGGCAGCCCACCAGGCAAGAGTACTGGAGTGGGTTGCCACTGCCTTCTCCTTACTAGTGTGTGAGATGAGTGCAATTGTGCAGTAGTTTGAGCATTCTTTGGCATTGCCTTTCTTAGGGATTGGAATGAAAACTGACCTTTTCCAGTCCTATGGCCACTGCTGAATTTTCCAAATTTGCTGCCATATTGAGTGCAGCACTTTCATAGCATCATTTTATAGGATTTGAAATCGCTCAGCTGGAATTCCATCACCTTCACTGGCTTTGTTTGTAGTGAAGCTTTCTAAGGCCCACTTGACTTCACGTTCCAGGATATCTGGCTCTAGGTGAGTGATCACACCATCGTGATCATCTGGGTCATGAAGATCTTTCTTGTATAGTTCTTCTATGTTTTCTTGCCACCTCTTCTTATGGGGAGTTAGGCCTTCAATATGTGAATTTGTGAGGGGTACAGTTTGGTTCATAATAGTATGTAAAATTTCACTTAACTCTTCTGTTTTCATTCTGATACTTTCATACTCTGCTGTGTTTGATGATCTCAATTCTGTTTCATCCTCTCTAGAAAATAATCTTCGAGTCTACTGCTGGAGTGGTGATGAGGCTGCTACCTGGACACATTGAATGAGGATGGGTCTCTGAAGGTCTGACAGTTCTTAAGTAGATTATAAACCAATTCTTCTTTTAATAGGTGCACGTTCACCGCCACTTCTAACGTTGCTTCTAATTCCTGACTAGTTGACTTTTGGCCTGCATTACTATTGACTTAGGACTCAGTTTTTCAGGTCTGCTAAATTGGTTACCACTTATCCAGCTTCCAAAATGTTCTTGCTTTTGTAATCTCTCCTGTTTTCTTTGTCCATGGAAATTATGTCATAAAAATATCTTGTTGTCAGCTTGTGGGGTTTCTGGAGGAAGTAGAGGTAAATGTATGTTTGTCTAATTCTCCATCTTTAATAGGACACCATATGTCTCCTTCCCTTGAAAGTCAGTGGAAGCCCATCTGAGGAGTTAGCTTTGGTTCCCAGTCCATTTCTCCACTAACTCTGGTGTTCCCACAAAACATATCTGTTGCATCCAAATGCATTTGATTTTGATGCGTTGATTGATTTCTGAGGACCAATAGTCTGACATCGCTTGACCAAAAGATAGAAATGTACTCTGAGCTCATCACAAGTATGCAAACAATTTTAATACACTCAGAAAATGATTTGTGCTTCAAGTTGAACAAAACCTCCACATTTTCCTGAACAGCATTTCCTTACATTTAAAAACTTGATATATTTCCAGGGGAATCTAATCCATATGTTTCCTATTTTTTTTTTTTTTGCTTTTAATGCATCTTAATATTGTTTCATAAAGCACTATTTAAGCTAACATTCTTTATTAGCTTTTTTTCCCTTAAGTAAGACTTTTCCATTAGCTTTTATTTAGAACTGTATTTTTTTCAAAACTTTCCGACCGCCAAGTTGAGTTGAACCCCTAAATGTCTGAGTTTCGCTTGAAAATTTGACTTTTGTTGGCTTCTATTTAGGGCAAACCCATATTTTCTAAAATCTTGTGTTTTCTGTCTGTGTTTTCCAGCTAAGCAGATCTGTACCCAGAACCCATTCCACAGAGTCCTATACTCCATGGTAATTTGGACCAGAAAGAAAGTACATACATGCAGCATACCTCTTCTGGTCCACCATGCCACTGGATAGATAAGAGTAGAAGGAGATATTCTCCTGCCTTGGAGAGTTCAGTCTACTTAGGGAGATGAGTAAGAAAAGAAAGCCTATCATTTCCTTCCTGTATGTCAGATAATGGACTAGTCACTTGGCCATGATTGTCCTATTTAAACCCAATGATACACAGGTATTTTATCTAAATTAATCCTCTTAATAAGTCTTCAGGATGAATATAATTATTACACCAATTACAGAATAAGGGTACTTGAGGCTCCAAATGTTGCTGATCTTGCCCAAGATTGTACAACTATGAAGTGATAGAGAGGCTGGTTTAGAATGTAGGCAGAATTCCAACATATGAAAAGCAGGAAAATGATTTAGGTACCTGGTTTGGAATGAGTATTCAGTAGTGGTTGTGAAATTAATATAACAGGGCCAATATGCATACTGTAAGGTTGAGTGAAGACTTATGAGGGCTGCCACCGTTAAGAAAGATGTCCTAGAGGAGACTGTTGTTCCAGATCTGTCTTCACCTGCACTGCTCCCGTGTCCAGGTGACTATCATCTCTTACCTGGAACCTACTTTGTTATTGTTCAGTCACTCAATCATGTCTTGACTCTTTTCGACCCCATGGACTGCAACATACCAGGCTTCCCTGTCCTTCACTAGGATACCTATTAGAGCCTGTCAACTGCTCTCCCCACTTTCCTTCTTGCCCCATTACTAACTGTTCTCCACACAGCAGCTAGCATGATCTTTTTTTTTTTTAATTCAAGGTAAAATTTACCTACAGTGAAATGCATACAACTTAAGTATTTAATCTGATGAATTTTGACAAAATGTATACACATCCATGTAACCAACACCACATTCAAAACATAGAACATTTCCATTACCCTGTGTTCCCTTTTTGTCAATACCTACCTCTGATAGGCAACTAAAATTCTTGTTAGTATAACCATAGATTAGTTTTGTATGTTTTGAGTTTCTTGTAAATGAAATTACACATTATAACTTACTTGTGTCTGTTTTTTTCCAATCAGGATGTTTTAAGATTCATCCCTGCTGCTCTGTGTAGTTGTACCTCATTTCTGAAATTTTGAAATAGTATTTCAGCGATAAAAATACCAAATTTATTGATTGATTTTTGTGTTGAAGGAGTTTGAGTTGTTACAGTTTGAAATTATTGTGAGTGAAATTGATATATTTTTGTACAAGAGAGTTAGTGAACATACATTTTTATTCTCTTGAATAAAAATTGCAATTGCTGGTCATATGTAGATACATATTTAATATTTTAAGAAAATGTAAAAATGTTTCCAAAGTTCTTTCACCATTTTATACTTCTGTTAGCAATGTATGGGGGTTCTGTTTGTTCTTTTTTCCCCTGAGACACTAGGATAGTGAAAAATAAAAAAGATAACACCCAATGGTGGAGAGACAGGGGGAGCTGGAATAATTGGATATGGACATGGGAAAAATACAGCTTGGCCTATTATCTGTGTGAGGTAGAAGTCAAGGCTTACTTTTTTCTCATTAACAATATACAGGTGTTCCAGCATTATTATTACTATATTACTATGTAGCATTAGTTTTTAAAAAGACTTTACTTTTTCAATGGAATTGTCTTGACTCCTTTGTTAGAGTCTATTTCTGGGTTATCCATTCTATTCCACTGATATATTTGGTGATCTTTATGCCAATGCTGAAAGGACAACATTAGAAGGACTGATACCTGAAGCTGAAACTCCAATACTTGGGTCACCTAAGGTGAAGATCTCACTCACTGGAAAAGACCCTGATGCTGGGAAAGATTGAGGGCAGGAGGTGAAGGGGGCAACAGAGGATAAGATGGTTGGATGACATCACCAAGTCAATAGACATGAATTTGAGCAAATTCCAGGAGATAGTGAAGGACAGGGAAACCTGGCGTGCTGCAGTCCATGGGGTCGCAAATAGTCAGACGTGACTTAGCGACTGAACAACAACATGCCAACACCACACAATATTAATTTTTTAAAATTATTTTTAACTGAGTTGTAATTAATATATTAGTTTTGGGTATACAACATAATGATTTATTATTTGTATGTATTACAAAATGATCACCACAGTAAGTCCACTTAACATCCATCACCGTACATAGTTACCGTTTTTTGTGTGTGTGATAAGAACCTTCAAGATCCATTCCCCTAGCTACTTTCAAATATGCAATATAGTATTAGTAAGTATGGTCATCATGCTGTGCTTAACATTCCCATGACTTACTCATCTTATAACTGAAAACCTGTACTTTGTGACCCCTTTCACTCAGTTAACAACCCCTAACCCTCACTTCAGGCAACCATTAATCAGTTCTTTGTAAATGAAATTACACATTATAACTTACTTGTGTCTGTTTTTTTCCAATCAGGATGTTTTAAGATTCATCCCTGCTGCTCTGTGTAGTTGTACCTCATTTCTGAAATTTTGAAATAGTATTTCAGCGATAAAAATACCAAATTTATTGATTGATTTTTGTGTTGAAGGAGTTTGAGTTGTTACAGTTTGAAATTATTGTGAGTGAAATTGATATATTTTTGTACAAGAGAGTTAGTGAACATACATTTTTATTCTCTTGAATAAAAATTGCAATTGCTGGTCATATGTAGATACATATTTAATATTTTAAGAAAATGTAAAAATGTTTCCAAAGTTCTTTCACCATTTTATACTTCTGTTAGCAATGTATGGGGGTTCTGTTTGTTCTTTTTTCCCCTGAGACACTAGGATAGTGAAAAATAAAAAAGATAACACCCAATGGTGGAGAGACAGGGGGAGCTGGAATAATTGGATATGGACATGGGAAAAATACAGCTTGGCCTATTATCTGTGTGAGGTAGAAGTCAAGGCTTACTTTTTTCTCATTAACAATATACAGGTGTTCCAGCATTATTATTACTATATTACTATGTAGCATTAGTTTTTAAAAAGACTTTACTTTTTCAATGGAATTGTCTTGACTCCTTTGTTAGAGTCTATTTCTGGGTTATCCATTCTATTCCACTGATATATTTGGTGATCTTTATGCCAATGCTGAAAGGACAACATTAGAAGGACTGATACCTGAAGCTGAAACTCCAATACTTGGGTCACCTAAGGTGAAGATCTCACTCACTGGAAAAGACCCTGATGCTGGGAAAGATTGAGGGCAGGAGGTGAAGGGGGCAACAGAGGATAAGATGGTTGGATGACATCACCAAGTCAATAGACATGAATTTGAGCAAATTCCAGGAGATAGTGAAGGACAGGGAAACCTGGCGTGCTGCAGTCCATGGGGTCGCAAATAGTCAGACGTGACTTAGCGACTGAACAACAACATGCCAACACCACACAATATTAATTTTTTAAAATTATTTTTAACTGAGTTGTAATTAATATATTAGTTTTGGGTATACAACATAATGATTTATTATTTGTATGTATTACAAAATGATCACCACAGTAAGTCCACTTAACATCCATCACCATACAGTTACCGTTTTTTGTGTGTGTGATAAGAACCTTCAAGATCCATTCCCCTAGCTACTTTCAAATATGCAATATAGTATTAGTAAGTATGGTCATCATGCTGTGCTTAACATTCCCATGACTTACTCATCTTATAACTGAAAACCTGTACTTTGTGACCCCTTTCACTCAGTTAACAACCCCTAACCCTCACTTCAGGCAACCATTAATCAGTTCTATATGCCCCAAACTTGGGATTTGTTTATCATATTTCATGGATAAGTGAGATCATATGATGTTTGTCTGTCTCTCTCTGACTTATTTCACTTATCCTAATGCCCTCAATGGCTTCCTTCATGGCTCAGACAGTAAAGAGTCCGCCTGTGATGTGGGAGACTTGGGTTCGATCCCTGGGTCGGGAAGATCCCCTGGAGAAGAAAATGGCAACCCACTCCAGTTTTCTTGTCTGGAGAATCTCAAGGAC